TGGTAATAATTTATCCACTTTTCAAAGTTATGCTCACTTAGTTCTGTGCAGTTTCTCTGCATGTCACGAGACATGACTGAAGGTACTGGACTGAACACCTACATGGGGATGTAGGGGAACAAATTGAGGGTTTCCAATGTTTCTATTAACTATATTGCTCTTGAAATTTGTTTAAATCTTAGCATTCTGGGGTTTCTTAGGCTCCATTTGGGCAAATATTATGTTTCAAAACTTTTAAACAGTACAATTCAAAGGCCGTATCCACCACCATGACTGGTTTGTTAAAAAGAAACCAAGGCTGGGTGGAGAGAAAGAAACCATATATAATGACTTAAATGTCATCAATGATTAATTTATTGTAATGTCTTTGACAGCCAGCTACACTTGCAGCCAATGTAAGAGCAGTGTTCGCTTGCTTACTCGACCAAGTAAGTTGGTTAATTAAGCATACCATTCTACTTGTTAGCCAATACATTAATTGCAATGTCTCATTTTTCAGGTTAGCCTATACATAACAGATGGACTTGAACGGGCTAGAGATAACTTGACTGAAGCTGCAGGTTTGAGGGAAAGATTTGTGATAGGTACAAGTGTTAGTAGAAGGGTGGCTGCTGCAGCTACTTCTCAGGTACATAACTAATTGTGATTTATCTTATTCATTTTAAGTTTCAATTTAATGAAAAATAATGCAAATAAGGGTGGCTAATTAATTGATGAGCAGGCAGAAGCTGCTGTAGCTTCCGGTGAAAACAGTTTCAAATCTTTCATGGTCGCAGTACAATGTTCTGGCAGTAGTGTGGTCATAATTCAGGAAGTACATCGATGTCTTGGTTGTTTCTTACAGAAAAGTGCACATATGAAAGAATATTTTGGTTTCATGGTTTTGAATTAATCTTACCTTTCATCTGCAGTACTTTGCAAATTCTATATCTCGGCTCTTATTGCCTGTGGACGGTGCTCATGCTGCTGCTTGTGAAGAAATGGCAACAGCAATGTCTAGCGCGGAGGGTGATGCTTATAAAGGTGCCTATTTTAACTTCATTTATGTTCCTCTTTGTTGACTACTTGATGATTGAACTAAACAAATTCAGTTTTCTGTTGTAGATCTCTTCTATAGCCATGTCTAGAGTTGTTGCTTATCTTTCTCGAGTCCTCGAGGCTGCATTCACTGCATTAGAGGGTCTTACCAAACAAGCATTTCAGACTGAACTGGTATGATGTTTATAATTTTAATTCCCTTGATTATTGTTTATATATTTCTATGACTTTTGAGTCTACTAAATTACTCTATGTGTACACTAGATATTGAACAAATTACTCTCACACATCAAGAACTTCATTCAACCAACTTATATAAAACTGTGTTTCGTCGTTCATCCATTCATTTGAAATAGTTCTTTAAGTGAGGCATCATCCCTTGATAATATTCAGCAATTTTGTTTTATGTGGTAGACTCTGGTTTGATGTGGAGTCAAATAGCTAGTTGTATTATACGATTGGTGAAGGAGGTATCTGTTGAATCTAAGGCCCACCAAGTAAGGGACACATCAAGGGATGGACCTAGAGGGGGTGGGTGAGGATGGTCAGCCCCCTAAAAATTTCAAATTTTTATATTTTATATATTTTCTTTTGAAAATATGTTCCCCTAAAATTTTATAATTTCTCCCCTAAACTTTACAAGTTCACTCCTCCTAACATAAAATTTTGTACTCGTCCCTAGACACATGGTAGTTAGACAACTATCAAGTTCAAACAAATTTGCTCTAGAGCCTTGGAAAGTAGTAGGCCATGGTGCCAGCATTTATTGATTGTTTGGACTCAAAAGATGGTGAAAATTTTCTATAGGACAACTCTCAAGTTCAAACAATTTCTTGATCCTATCTCAATCAACCCAAACTCGAAAAACCACTTGAATACAAAAATAACCCGGACTTGAAGTTTACTATATAGTTGTATTTTACAAATATTAACTTTGCAACTTTAAATTATGTTCTTACTTGGTGTATGCAGTTCATAATAAATGATGATCTACTAAGTCGATTGGCTTAAAAGAAATGATGACATTATGAAAGTTTCAAATTGAAATCTATTAGGTATAAAAAATTGAAAAGAAAAGATGAGATGAAAGGGGTCATTTTTGTTTGTGAAGGTTGCTAGTTTTGATTCGGGTATTGTATTACTCTGGTTTATTCAGCTTAGAGACGACTACAAGAGTGCGAAACTGGCATCCAGGCTTAGCTCCTTGTGGTCCAGTTGAGGTCCCATCTAGTGACAGATGCAAGTGTTCAAATCCGAATTTCGTTACGCCGGTTATCTATTCTTACTGATGGTATTTACCTTAAAGTTCTATTTATATTCATCTCATACAAAAAATTTTGTTGTTAATATATGCGTATTTACAACCCTAAAAATATTTTTAGATTCGTCGTGGTCTATCTATTCTCTCCTTGGCGAGAGCTGGTATAGCCTTATTGAATCGACTGCATTAGATTCATTTTGTCCCCCCCTCCCTAATTCTTTTCTATTTTCTTCTTTGTTCATAATCTTATAAACATGTCTGATTGGTAAGGTGAAAGTATTTTTTTTAATTTTGTTTGGTACTGTAAATTATAATTACATAATTATATAAATATAAATAACAAAATATGTTTGGTAGTTTCTAACTTGTTAACCTGTCTACTGGAATAAGAATAATCGGCTTGTTACGTTTCACGAGTTCACATATCAGACCACAGGCGGCAATATTCGATGTAGCGAGTACTTGACGATTTAGTTCCCTATTTATTTTATTTTATGATTTTTTTCTAATATAAATGAGAAATGAGATAATTAAATGTAACACTTTTGCCTACATAGGTATTTTATTAAATTTATAATTTTATTCATAATAGAAATAATTTGTATAACAATAACATTTTTAAAGGACTATTATTTTCAAGCATACATGCGTACCTAATGTGAAATTCTAAAATGGTAGCTTAATTTAAGATTAAAAATCGATAGAAACGAATATGATTGAAAAACATAAAATTTTAAGTTAGACAAAACATAAAATCAGTGATGGAACATGTGAAGGCGGAAGGGGATATAGCCTATCCCAACTGTTACGGTTTAATTGTATTTTAAGTCTTTAAAAATTTTAAAACCATTAAAATTAAGTCCTGACCCTCCTAAAATTTTTTGGTTTAATTATTTTTTAAGACATTATCAGTTTTAAAGTTAAATGAAACTAAAAGAGAAGACTTATCTAGGGATGTGCATGGGTCGGGACGGGTTGGGTTTTTAGCCTCTCCGACCTCGATTTATGAACATATTTCTTATATCCGACCTCGTCCCATCCTGATAAATTTTAGTTTTCTTCCACCCGAACCCTTTCTGATTTTTAGGCTAAACCCGACCCCAATCCTACCCAAACTGAATATATTAATATTTTAAAATAATTAAATATATATTTTATATATTTATAATTATTTATTATAATTTTAAATGGTTAAAATAGTATATTTTATAATATTTTTATATTTTTAATAATTTAAAAACATATTTTAATAATATAAAATTAAAATTCCTAAAATATTAAATATATTTTATATAAAAAAATATAAATTAACCGGGTCGGGTCAGATCGATGATTTTTTTACCTTAAACGCAATCTCGCCCCGCTCGAACTTATATACTATATAAACCTCCCTGAACCTCAAAATTTTTAAAAAAAATGTTTTTATAGAGTCGAGTCGAGACTCATAGGGTTCGAGTATTTTGATTATCCTTAGACTTATAAAAAAAACATCAAAAAGAGAAAACATAAACAAGAGGCTAAGTGAAAACTTATTCTCCACTAAGGTGTGTTTGTTTGACGTAAAACCAATTACGGAATTGGTTTTCCCCGAAATCTCATATTTGTTTCATGTAATTCGTTTTCTGGAAAATATTTTTCCGTGTTTGTTTCACGTAATTCGTTTTCCGAAAAATGTTTTCCCGTGTTTGTTTCACGTAATTCGTTTTCCGGAATGTAATTCATTTTCTTAATAACAGAATTTTCTTTGTGTTTTCTGTAAAATGACTTACGGATTCATTTTCCGTAATTCATTTTCCGAACTTTTCACTTCAAAGCAAAAATACTCAAAATAATTTTATTTTATGAATTTAATATTAATAAAATATTTTAATATCATTTTCATCAAAATATTAATTATTAAAATATTTAAAATATATTTATTAATATTTATAATAATATAATATTATATTTTTAATATTATATAAAATAATCAATTATATTATAATAATATAAGATATTATATTTTTATTTTAATAATATATAATAATTTTTTATATATTTAATAATGAATAATATTATTTATATATTTAAATAATATTTTCGTAAAGATATTTAAAATATACTAATTAATATTTTTAAAATATAATATAACACTATTACTTTAATAAATAATTAATATAATATATAATATTTTATTTCACTAAAATATACCAATATTAATATTTTTATTAATAAAATTATAAAAATAATATTTAATAATAAATAAATTATTTTAATATTTTAAAATAATAATATTAAGTTTTATGATAAATAATATTATTTATTATATTTAATATTTGTAATAAATAATTTTTAAAAAACTCTTCAACTAGTAGAAAAAAGGTTTAAATAATATCTTTCAAACATCATAAAATATTTTTCAGATGTTTTCCAGAAATGTAATTCATTTTTCAGAAATGTAATTCATTTTCCAGAATTCAAATTCCAATAATTCATTTTTCAGTAATTCAAATTTCAATAATTCAAATTTCAGTAATTCATTTTCCGAAAAATCAATTACAGCCAATCAAACAGAATTAAAAAAAAAAGTTCTCCTCTAATCTAACAACTGTAGCGAATATTAAAAGTTTTTTTTTAAAAAAAAAGTGAAGTAAATAAATCGTTCTTCTTTGTAAATGGTCTTCATATCTTCCTCTTCACCCTAATTTGCATGATTTCCAAACCCTAACTTATTTTCTTTTATACAAAATAACAGCTTCTTCGAACGAACGGCAAGTTTCCATGGACACGCGTCGTGTCTCACGTGCCGTCCCCAGAGTCCGCCAAGTCGGCTTCTTCACCCCCAACACGCCGGCGCAGCACCCTCCTCCTACACGCTCCCAATCAGGCCCTCCAACCTCCGATTCGCCGCCACTCTCTGAATCTCCCGCCAGCAACACCCTCTCTCCGGTCATGATTCCGCCGGCGCGTCACCTCTCCGACAACCTTGGCGGACGCACCTCCGCTCTTCCCGTTCCTGGACGTGGAAACGCTGGAGATCATGCTACTGTCGGAAGCTACAACCCCTCGGAGTCGGTGTTGTGGTTGGAGTCACCCACTCGTAGTCGAATTAGTGATGAAGAGTTCTCGGAGGGGACGGACTGGTATCGGAGGAGTAATTCAGCGAAGTTTGCGACAAGTTTGCCCAGTGGCGGTTTCAATTTCTCTCCAGTGAAGCAACCGGAAAGTGTTGCTGCACTTGAAGCTAAGAATCCACTGCCTGGTATTAATGTTTCTTTAGATATAATAAGTTTCAAAGTATTTGGAATAACTGGGGTTTCCTAAAACAAAGTTTCATTGCAGAAAAAAGCGAAGCGCAAAAGGAGCAGGCATCAAATTCAAAACCTCTAAAAGCGAAAACAACGAAGGCTGAGAGGCGTGCCTTGCAGGAATCTCAACGGGCTGCTAAAGCTGCTTCTAAAGGTTCAAAACAGTCTTTTCTTCATTTTATGCCTATGGGTAACTTTGAAGTACTGTTATTTGAATTAAACTGAACAAAATATATAGTTTATCTGATTGTCCCTTTCATCCCAAAGTAGGTTAGTTTTAACATATATTAGTAATATTTGCGAAATTGATGGTGGATGTGGGAAACATTAGAGACTAGGATTGGGTATTTGAAAACAGATCTAAAGGATGCAGTACAAATATGTTGGAAATGACATGTGACTCAAAGAAACATGCAAGGTATAATGATTACCATACAATTAATAAATACTGTACTTATTTATCTAACTGTATTTATGTCTTAAATTGCAAATGCCGTATAATTTTTATATATGATTATTATAAACGATTTTCTCTGGTTCATATTGTAATCAGTTGCAAACTTTCCCCCTTGCCTTAAAGTAAGAGGTTCCTAATCTCATTGAAAGAGAAATAGATATTACGAAGCGGGTTCATCATCAAAGTCTAGCTTTATTTGTTTTCTAATCTAATGAGCCAAGTTTGAATAATTAGCAAGCAGCTCAACTAGTTTCTGGTTTCAACTCCTATGACATTCAAGAATTGAATAGCTTCTTGAAGTCTGTTAGCGTTTACTTAGTATTTGTTCATGTTTGTTAACATAGGCAATGGCTTTTCTGATTTTGATGAAAGATGAGTTTTGTTACATTCATTTTATGTTTATATTTGTTCTGACCAATTGCACTCAGTTTTCTATTGGCATATAATTTGTTAGCTTTGCCCTTGGCACTAAAAGGTTTTAATTTTAATTTTATAGCTGAGGCAAATAAATCCAGTACACCTGGAGGAGCTGCTTCTTCTAAACACATGAAGCAGCCACCACAAAAGAAAGATGGTCCTCCAGCTGCATCTTCAGTTGCTGCTTCTGAAAGAATAGGAGTTGATCGGCCAGTAGAGAAAGAGAGGAAGAAAGATCTTCCTCCTCCACGTATGCAATTTGATGATGCGAGTCGTGTGGGTAAGGCTAAAAGGCGGTCTGTATTGAATCAACCTGAAGCTAGGAATAGAGTTGAACTCTTTCGCCATCTTCCGCCACACAAAAATGGATCTCAGCTTCCTTATTTGGAATCAAAATTTTTTGAACTTCATGAGATGCATCCTGCTGTGTACAAGGTACTCTTACCTCTTAGTTAAAGTTGAGCTTTTTCAGCCTTCCTATCTGACCAATTGTCTAAAGGGAAGTAAATGGAAGTTCCTTATTGTAGCTGTTTCTGCAATTTAACTTTTAATTTTATAATTTTGACAAAAATGAAAAATAAAAGAGGGGTGGTGGGGTAGATGTTTCCCCTTTAAAAATTTGATGCATGCTAAATATCCTGGATAATGATAACATTGACAATGCAAACTTATCGTTGAGAACGCTACATCAACCTTTGATTTGTTAGCTTCATGAACTCCTTTTCTGTTTTTCTCTTTCTCGAAGTTTTAAAGGTTCTGTTATTTCAAATTCTGTAAATTTCGGTGTACTTGGTGTGAGGATATATTGTGGGAACTGGGAAACAGAATCAGAATGATGGAACATGTTAATCATTGATGTGGAAGTGATGAATTCAGCACTAATTTAGTTCTTGGTGACCGAATTTCTCCAAACTATGTTGGGCGTTGTCTTTCTAAATTATACAAAGAAATTACAGGCCAAGAGATTAGTTATATTTATATAAATTCAAAGGCTTGAATTCATCAAAAAGAATTCTTGTATCTATGTTGTTTCTCCCACAGATACTGTATGAAAAAGAAGCTGCCACAATTATGGCAGTATTCCCTTCTCCTAATGATGTTATGTCAATCTTAGTTCAGGTGCCTTGATTATGTCCTTCATGTTCCCATATTATTGCATTTTTTCAATGCAGATGCATCACCATTATGAGTAATTTTTTTTTCTAATTATGGCTGGTTTCCTATGTCACTTGCAGCGAGTTACTTCTCTTTTGGACAAATTACTGGAGAAGCCATCTCTTGCCACGTCCCATGGTGGAAGGTGGAATTTTATTGGTAAGTAAACTTATAGAAGAAGCATCCACGTCATCTTTTTCTAATGGTAAGTAGAAGTAAGGATTGACTTTATATCATATTTCACTTGAGGCTTCAGTATCTGAGAGTGTTAGCTGTGGCGTATAAGAAGACTCAAGAACTTGCTAGAGACCGGCGAGCCGTTGGATGTGGTGATTTGGATGTTGAAGGTAACAATATCACAGTAGCTCCTTTGCAGATCACCTTGTTGTGCATTGTCCTTCTATAATGTTAAATGCATTTTTGGAATCAGATACACTATTATTTGATTAAAGTAGATAGTTTAGGGTTGGTTATTTGGAACTACTGATGAGATTTAATAAAAATAGTCCAAAATAGATTATGATCGTGTCAGATGAATTTGGAAATGTTAAATGGAAATGTATAATGTCGCATTACAATCAAGAGAGGTGACATGAGTGAAACAAATTTTAGTTTTTGGCAAAAATTGGTCAAATCCCACATTGAAAATTAACAAATGATGGAAAAATTATTAGCCTATAAATAGAACATTTCCCTTTGGTTAAATGTATGTCAATCACCAAAATACAAGTGGTGTACTAGAAAGCTATTAGCTATATTAGTAGAGAATTTAAAATTCTCTTGGGGTGTACTTTAGCTTTTGGGCATGTGTGAGAGTTAAATATTTTGTAGTGTGGTTGTAATAATTTTCCACATAGTAAATATTTTTTTCTCTTGGTTATCTTTTGACAACGCCTGTGGTTTTTCTCCATTTGGGAGTTTTCCACGTTAAAAAGAATTTATTCTCTTGGGGTGTACTTTAACTTTTGGGCATGTGTGAGAGTTAAATATTTTGTAGTGTGGTTGTAATAATTTTCCACATAGTAAATATTTTTTTCTCTTGGTTGTCTTTTGACAACGCCTGTGGTTTTTCTCCATTTTGAGAGTTTTTCACGTTAAATTATTGTGTTTTTTTCTCTTTTATTTTTCAAGTATTTTTGTTAATGTTGTGATCTAAAGGTTTTGTTGGATTACAAGGGGTTTATTTTCCCAACAATTGGTATCGGAGTCAATGGTTTGGTAAAAGATAAACTTTAAGGCGGTGTAGGAATTTCTTTAAAATTCTTAGTATGCTCTGTGGTTGTGGCTTTGTCCGATCTTCTACATCAGAAAAGATTTTTTAGAAATTGTTGTGGTCCAATTGGAGGTCCTTTAAATACGTTATTGTGTTTATTGAGTGTGGTATTGTGTAAGTAAGTGCAGCCAAGAAAGTTTTGTCACAAAGGCTATAATCGCCTAAGGAGGTTGGGACTTAAGCAGTACCATTTGTGTCCCGCCAATCTTTCCTGGAAACTTTCTTAGTGCATTTTGTAGACACAATTGTTCACTCATTATTCACGTGTGAGATCACTGTAGCATTGTTGAGCAAAAATGAGTTTCAGATTTGATATTGAGAAATTTGATGGGAGAATTAATTTTGGGTTGTGGCAAGTACAAGTCAAGGATATACTAATCCAGTCTGGATTGTATAAGGCCTTAAAGGGAAAGCCAGCTTCTTTGTCCGAAGGAAAGGAACCAGATAAACCTAGTGACAGCAGTGGAGACAAGGGAAAATCCAAGATGAGTGAAGAAGAATGGGAGGAGTTAGACATGAGAGCAGCAAGTCAGATTCGTCTCTGTCTAGCCAAAAATGTTCTTGCTAATGTTGCTAGATGGTCATCAACAAAAGAGCTTTAGGAAAAGCTTGAGGAAATGTATCAAGCTAAAAGTCTTTCAAATAGGTTATATTTGAAGGAGAAATTTCACAAATTGCAAATGGAAGAAGGTACAAAAATTTATGACCACCTTAGTGCACTAAATGGGATTGTTTCTGAACTGGAATCTATTGGAGTGGAGATTGATGATGAAGATAAAGCATTGAGACTTATTTGGTCTCTTCCATCTTCCTATGAGCACATGCAAACCGTTTTAATGTACGGGAAAGAGAATGTGAATTTTTCAGAAGTGGTAAGTAAGCTGATTTCGGAAGAAAGAAGGCTAAAAATGGAGAGAACAAATCTTCTGATAGTGGAGCATTGTCGGTTTGTGGAAATAGGAAGAAGTATAAAGGCTCCAAAAGGAAAATTATCTGCTGGGGATGTGGGCAACGTGGACATCTAAAGAAGGATTGCAAAAACGGTGGAGCTAATTCGGCTAATGGCTCCAAAAGTGATGCTACTAATGTAGTCGTCTTTGAAAATGAAGACGATGAATTTGCTTTGTAAAGAAAGATATATATCCTCATGGCATGATAGCTACCAATTAAGTTGCCATGGAAAAGGATGTATGAAAAGGTAGCATGTCCACATTTATACATGGGCATTGGTTGACAGTTGATGCAAGGTGTGTGGTGGAATTGATGTCGATGGCTAATGAACTTCCTAGAAAGTCAACATTAGAAGTTGCACCATAACTTATTAGCAGTTTTTCGACATGAACTGGTCAAGGTAAAAATTCTTGGAGTTAGTGAATTCCAAGTGTGTATACTCTTATGGTGGAGTATGACAATTCTTGTTTTTTAGAATCGTGACTATCATAGCTGATGGTGTTATTGAGGTAGCTGTTGTTTTTATGGTGAAGAATTGTATGGAATTTTTGCCAATGTGGAGATTTGTTAGTTTTTGACAAAAATTGGCCAAATCCCACATTGGAAATTAACAAAGGATGGAAAAATTCTTAACCTATAAATAGAACATTTCCCTTTGGTTAAATGTATGTCAATTACCAAAATACAAGTGGTGTATTAGAAAGCTATTAGCTATACTAGTAGAGAATTTAAAGGGAAATTCTCTTGGGGTGTACTTTAGCTTTTGGGCATGTGTGAGAGTTAAATAGTTTGTAGTGTGGTTGTAATAATTTTCCACATAGTAAATATTTTTTCTCTTGGTTGTCTTTTGACAATGTGGTTTTTCTCCATTTGGGAGTTTTCCACGTTAAATTATTGTGTTTTTTTTTCTATTTTATTTTTCAAGTATTTTTGTTAATGTTGTGATCTAAATGGATTGTTGGATTACAAGGGGTTTATTTTCCCAACAACAAATGTGAAAGTAACCACTCTCAATAGCTATTTTATGCTCCTTGTATGACTAAATCAGAAATTTGTTTTTATTACGGGTCTTGCAGAGTCTCTTTTTTCTTCTCACAAGGATGAATATACTGAACATGAGCAAGCCTCTCTTAAACAACTGTATCAAGCCAAGGTTTGCATTTAGTTCACCTAAAGATTCAATGCTTTATTTGCTTCATTGTTGCAGCCTGTAACATCTGTGATGCTGTGCAGTTGGAAGAACTGCGTGCTGAAAGCCAGAAAGTCTCAGAGTTAAGTGTAACAATAGGGCGTTCTAGAGGGGCTTCAGTGGCTCCCCCTCCCCCCCCCGGAGATATCTGTTGCAGCTGTAACCGAGTATGTGTGGTGGAATGAAGAAGCAATATCCAGATGCACGTTATTTTCTTTGTTGGTAATAATTTATCCACTTTTCAAAGTTATGCTCACTTAGTTCTGTGCAGTTTCTCTGCATGTCACGAGACATGACTGAAGGTACTGGGCTGAACACCTACAAGGGGATGTAGGGGAAGAAATTGAGGGTTTCCAATGTTTCTATTAACTATATTGCTCTTGAAATTTGTTTAAATCTTAGCATTCTGGGGTTTTCTTAGGCTCCATTTGGGCAAATATTTTGTTTCAAAACTTTTAAACAGTACAATTCAAAGGCCGTATCCACCACCATGACTGGTTTGTTAAAAAGAAACCAAGGCTGGGTGGAGAGAAAGAAACCATATATAATGACTTAAATGTCATCAATGATTAATTTATTGTAATGTCTTTGACAGCCAGCTACACTTGCAGCCAATGTAAGAGCAGTGTTCGCTTGCTTACTCGACCAAGTAAGTTGGTTAATTAAGCATACCATTCTACTTGTTAGCCAATACATTAATTGCAATGTCTCATTTTTCAGGTTAGCCTATACATAACAGATGGACTTGAACGGGCTAGAGATAACTTGACTGAAGCTGCAGGTTTGAGGGAAAGATTTGTGATAGGTACAAGTGTTAGTAGAAGGGTGGCTGCTGCAGCTACTTCTCAGGTACATAACTAATTGTGATTTATCTTATTCATTTTAAGTTTCAATTTAATGAAAAATAATGCAAATAAGGGTGGCTAATTAATTGATGAGCAGGCAGAAGCTGCTGTAGCTTCCGGTGAAAACAGTTTCAAATCTTTCATGGTCGCAGTACAATGTTCTGGCAGTAGTGTGGTCATAATTCAGGAAGTACATCGATGTCTTGGTTGTTTCTTACAGAAAAGTGCACATATGAAAGAATATTTTGGTTTCATGGTTTTGAATTAATCTTACCTTTCATCTGCAGTACTTTGCAAATTCTATATCTCGGCTCTTATTGCCTGTGGACGGTGCTCATGCTGCTGCTTGTGAAGAAATGGCAACAGCAATGTCTAGCGCGGAGGGTGATGCTTATAAAGGTGCCTATTTTAACTTCATTTATG